TCCCTGAGTCCCCGCAAAAGCTCCCTATTCAGCCAGGCCAGATTAAGCTGTCTGTTTCCAAAAGTGAGTATTTATTTTTAAGGAAAATGTGGGGCATTTTGTAGATTTCTGCCTCACTTTCTCTGCTCACGTTTTCAGTGTTTTGTATTACCTTCTCCCAGGTTACTGAGGAATCATAAGAACAGCCATAGTAGGTCAGACCAAAGGTCTCCAACAGTGGCTGAAGGAGATAATTAGGACGGAGTATAAAAACAGAGAAGCACATAAAAACAGCTCTCCAGAATACTCTCCCAGCCTCCAGTGATTTTCTGGAAAGGATATTTTTGTTATAATAGCAATGGCTAAATTCCTTTTTAATTCATCTACTCATTCTGCTGACACATAAAAACTTTTGGTATATGAACATCCTGTGGCAGTGAACTCCACACTTGATGCATGCATGGAGAATATCCTTTTTCTCCTTGTCTCCTAACTAGTGACTTCCTTCTTATAACAGACAGTGAATTATTGCTCCTGTTCTCTCTCTCCCTGCTATTCCTGATTTTATAGACTTTTGTAATATCACCGCTGTCATTTCCTTTCCAGGCAAAAAGTTGGTTTAGTAATTTCTTGTACATAAGGTGCCTCAGATCTTTGCCTGTCTTAGCTGTTTTTCTCTGATCACCAACTCAGCTGATGAATTCAGAGCAAAGACTCCTGATGTTTCTGTTACAAAAGCTTTGCTTTGTTTGGGGACATGATTATATTCTAAAATTTCATCAGAAGGACAGAATATTTTGGATATTTATTTTTTATTCAACATCCCAGTTCAATTCGACTCTCCTTGTAGCTAAAATGCTTGTGAATTGGATTACAATATTGTGCTTATTCTAACTGCAGGAAACTAATGGAACTGGACATTTTGTCTGGACCTTACTAACCAGTCTGACCTTTTCCAGAAACCCAAGCATATGTAGCTAGGGAGATACAGTCTCTCTGCTGAGTGCCCATACAACATGCAAGATTACAAAGCTGTCCGGAAAGCCTGGTGCAAAAAGACAATTGGGAAAGAATGTACTGTCTTGGTCAGTACAGAAAAGATGAGCAGTCAGAATAAGAACAATACTCAGAAAGGAAGATGCACTGTAAGTGATGACACCCAGAGGGGAGTTCTCAGCATCACCATGGCGAAGCTCACAGCACAAGACACTGGGGCGTACTGGTGTGCTCTTAATGATGACTCTCGCCTCTTCCAAATAAAGGTAACGAAGCTGGCGGTTGTCATAGGTAAGTGTCTTTTTTTTTAAATTGGAGAAACTCCTTTCTCCTCATTTTCCTTGCAGAAGAACTCACTTCCAAAGCTTGCTGTCCCACCTACTCCACCCGTTCTCTGCTCTCTGTACTCTGCAGTTCATTTTACCTACTAGGCTGCTCCTGACTCCCAGTTCCCTCGCCCTGTCATATCTGGTTCCTGATTCATACTGGGGAAGCAAAAGGACACGCAGAGCCAGGAAGCTGTGTTTAGCTGTCCATTTTCACAGTGAGCCAAGATTTCACAGTGAGCCAGTTGTGTCAGGGCCTGCTTTGAACGGATTATTTCAGTATTTGCATTGTTTCCCCTGTACTTAAAATCACCTCAGTTGTGCCTATGGAGACATTACTGTGTAGTGTGCAAATGCCAAGTGGCTCTGCTCTGGTTTCTCCAGCTGGGCAGTCCGGGGGTAG